CTGCTGAACAGTAAGATGCTGAGCCCAGGAGCAAATCCCAGGAGGTGTGGTACCTGGGCAGTTCAGGAGTTGCATCCAAGCCAAAGGCCACACCCTCTCAGAAGTGAGCAGAGTGAGAGTCCAAAGGGTAACCACCCTGAACTGGGTCAGCAGCCTCAAGTCACACTGGTACCCAATGGTAAATCCAGTGCCCTATGTAGTTAGAAACTGTCTTAAGCCACTAACTGACAAGCTGGGGAGAATCAGGCAATTCCTCACAAAGCTAAAGAGTTACTGGCCCAGCCTCGTACTGTACAATGCTACTCTCCCCCTCTGCAGGCTGAGGCCATGTGCTGCCTGCATCTGTATAGCATTCTGCCCACCCTAAAAGGGTGGCTAAGGCAGGAAGGTTGCAACAGAAAAGCTAACCAGTTATCCTATGACCCAGTAATTCCAGTCCATAGGTCCATAGAAAAAGCTGTACACAGATGTTCACAGCTGTATCATTCATGACAGTCAGAAAGTAGAAACAATCAAAATATCCATCAATTTATGAATGTATACACAGCATGGTGGGGGTATGGCCTAGACACTCAATCGGGCATTATGCAGCCACAAAGAGAACGAATAAATTAATAGTGAACCTCAGAAACATGCTAAGTAGAAGCAGGCAGATACAGAAAACTATATACTGTATGATTCCATTGTATAAAACATGTAAAATAAGCAAGTCCACAGGGCCAGAGAAAGTTCATTAGTGGTCGCAGGTGCTCAATGCACAACTCAGAATATACTATGAAGCACTGAACTATGCTCTATAAATATGTGAACTTTATAATATGAATTAATCATGATGAAAGTTGTTTGGTGGTGTTTTTTTGTTCTGAAGCCAGAGCTCTGGAGCCAGACCATGGGTTCCCATATCAGCTCCTCCACTCAGCAGCAGCTGTGTCCTTGGTGATTCTCTAACTCAGAGTTCACACCTGCAAAACAAGGACTAGGTCTGTTGTGGAAATGTGAAGTGCTGGCACACAGTAAATGCTTAATAAGGCTATAGGGCTATCTGGTGGCATGGTAATTAAGCTTGCTGGATCCCACGTGGCCGACTGAAAACACAACAGACATGTGTGCCTGTGTGCCCAAAATCCAGAAAGGAGAAATGAAGAAGGGACTGCAGCAAGACCGTCCTACATAGGGGGTGCTTTTCCACCCTCTCTCTCTCTCCTGTCTCTCTCCGGCGAGTGCACCCACTCTCCAGCAAATTAAATAAATAAATAATGCCATTATGAGCATTAAAAATCTAAATCCAAAGCCAGGTATTGGTGGCTTCTTCCCTGCATGCCCCCTTGGTTACAGACACCAGGAACTGCTTCCAGGGCAGCTTAGAGTCAGCACCAGGGCAAATGAAAGGTGGGCCACCCACAGTGGAATGTTCCCAGGCCATAAAAAGGAATTACGTGCTCAAACGCGCCACGACCTAGATAAACCTTGAAAATACTTTAAGTAGGAGAAGCCAAACGCAAAAGGCCACAATCCATGTGATCCCATTCACATGAAATACACTGAACAGACACAGAAAGTGGACCAGTGGTCTTAAGCTGAGCGGGATGAGGGAAAGGAGGTGACTGCTGGAAGGGGCTGAGTCTCCGTATTTTGCTCTTATTTCTTTCACTCTGGGGTTTTCCTTTCTTTTCAAGAGCTTAGCGCGATTTTAAGGGGTTGCCTGGCCCGTGTTGCATTTCTAGGCCACTGCGGGGGTCGCGATTCCGCACCGCGGCCCTGGGAGCTCTACGGTCAGAGGAGCGCAGTCGGGAAGCCCGCGTTGGCTAGAACTCCGTTACTCATTCGGCTCCAGACCCCAGCCCGCGCGACCGTTCACGCCGACCCTGGCCAGCGTCTAAGCCCGCGTTGCTCCGACCTTACCTTCCCCCCAACAGAGCCGACTGCAGCCTGCGGAGAGGCCGCCGGCAGGGCGGGGTTCGCGAGGCCGAACGCTGACTCTCCGGTGGGCCTCACGGCCGCCTGGTGCACTCGGGCCCGCAGCCTCCGAACCTTCCCCATACCGGCGGAGCGGCACACACGCTGAGAGGCCTTCCGGAAGCAGGCCCGCGGCTCTAGCTGCCGGGCGGAAACACGAGTCGCGGCGGCTAGGATCCGCTTTCTCCCTGCGACGCAGGCGCTCGGAAAAGCCGGGGAAAGCCCCGGAGCACCGCCTTCGCCCGTGGGGGCGGGGCCACCGTAGAGGTGGGAGGGCGGCTGAGAGGCTGCTGGGGCTAGGGACAGCCCGGAGGGGACCTTGTCTGTTAACCCTCAGGGCGCTCCTCAAGACTTCTGGGGCTTGCCCATCAGGAGAGACCACGATGAGAGTAAACTGTTGGGCTGAGCTGGGAGCCCAGCCATGTCCCCAACTTACTGCACTGCGCATTGCGGCCCTGGGGGCATCAAAGAGGGGAGGTCCCTCACTTATCAGGAAACAGGTCTAGGAGTTTAGGACCTTCCCACCTGACTGCAGCATCAAAAACTGTCACCACTGTGTTCTGGCTAGCCCCTAAATATCGTTTTTAATCATTAGTAGCCTTTCTTTTATAGAGAAAACTAGGAAATTGACGATTGGGGATTGTCTATCATACATCAGTATCCTATAGTAAATAGAAAATGTTATTAATAAACCATTATAATTTCATAGGTACATTAATTTATAATACAATATTTCAATGTGATAAGAACATGTTTATCAATAAACTTGCACATCCTTTGTCTCTGCAAAAAAAACAAACAAAAAAATTAGCCAGAAGTACAGCTTTTTTTTTTTTAATTTTGTTATAGAGAAACTGGGAGAGAAAAAGTGAGAAAGTGTAGCAGGAAAAAAACAAACAATTTTTAACCCGGTTTTTTTTTTTAACCTTACTTTATTCCTATTTCTTTTACTTTAAAGGTTAACTCTGTGGTTAAAGCTTTTGTAACTAATGTAATCTGTAACTTTTGTAACTAATAAGGTCATAAATAAGCTTGTTTGCTTAGAAGAGGAAACATAAGTCACTTATTGTAGAGGATGATCACAGAAATTACAAGGGGAGTGTGGGGGTATCCCAGGCAATAAATCTTCTGAGATGGCAATGTTTACTCAGGGGACATCGTGTAATAGGTAAAACTGGGAAAACTATAATGATGTTATCATTTACTATAATAGTTACTCCTAGATGTTTAGATTGTCTTGTTAAACAGTATAGCTCTAAAAATATGTCGTATCTTACCTAATCTATCAATGTATGTCACAAGTCTGGGTCAACAGATTTAATGTCACCATAAAAACAAAAACAAGATCATAAATGTCATGTGAAAGGAAAAGAGACAGAACAATTTTGGGAAAATCATGAGGGTAAAAGTAACACTGAACTAACTAAACTTATAGATAGCAATAGATAAGCGAAAAAAAAATGTGACATACATAACATGCTAGAAATTTCTGTTGTGGGAGTTGGTTGTGAGTTTAGCCCTCAGCACTCCCTGTGCTTGAACACAGCTAAATAAACTCCTTTCTCCCTCTGCTTCGTCTCTCAATTATTCACAGAAACAGCTGCTGGATTTTAGGCAGCAACAAAAGCACACACCTAGGAGGAATGACCACCAACACAGTCCCTTCTCCGTTCTCCTCTCAGGATTTTGGGCATGCATGCACATGTACTTGGCATGTTTCTCAAGTCCTTGGGTGGGAGACTGGAACTGCCCGGTAGGTCATGTGGGATACAGCTGTTTTAACCACCACACCACAAGCTGGCCCATAAAGACCAGGGTTTTTTTTTTTTTTTTTTTTTTTTGAGAAGTTTTCGCTATAGGGCGCGTGTGCTCGCCAGACAGACAGAGACATAGAGACAGAAAGCGAGAAATCACCCCCCAGAGGGGATGGTCACGCTGCAATCCCTTCTTCTCCATTCTCCTCTCGGGATCTTGGGCACGCATGCACACGTGCCCGGCGTGAGTTTTAAGCCACCGGGCCCAGGATGCAAACCACGATCGACTACGTGGGAGTCCAGCGACATAGCCATTACGCTAACTGCTGGTTCCCAAGACCAGTTTTTGCTATAACTATGATCTAATGCAGAGATAATTACTGCTGGTTGCTAACAGCACACATAGATACAACTCAACCAGACATGTGGAAAGACCCAGTCACAGGCATCAGGGCTGAGACCACCCAGGAAGGCTCCAGCAGCAAACTGTTCTAATGGCCTTTCTGGGCAGATTGCTGTAACTCGCCTGATGAAACTGTGCCTTTGCCTCTCTGTGCAGGCCATGCTGTCTCAGTGAGAGACGTGAAGCCCACAGCTGCCAAACGTATCTGTACCGCAGTTTTGAAAAATCCTTGGGCAGCCTTTCTCTCCCTCTCTCCAGACAGCCCCTCTGGGTGATCTCACCATGGTTTTCTACCCCACCCTGGGCCTCTAACATTTTTACCTGCAAATCCCACTCCTCTGCCTCCACCAGAAACTTACATGAGGACCAGCAGTTAGTGTAATGGCTATGTCTCTGGACTCCCATATAGTCGATAGCGGTTCAAGTCACGGACCCAGCAGCTTAAACTCACACCGGATGCGTGTGCATGTGTGCCCAAGATCCCAACAGGAGAATGGAGGAGAAGGGATTGTGGCATGGCCATCCCCCCAGGGGGGGATTTCTCCCTTTCTGTCTCTCTGTCTCTCGCTATCTTTCTGGCGAGCGCGCGCGCCCTATAGCAAAAACCTCTCCAAAAAAAGAAAAAGAAAAAAAAAAAGGAAACTTACATGGAAATATGAAACGGAATTCTTGGTCCCCCAGACTCCAACTGCTGCTCTAATTCCTTTAGAAAAATTACACTGTCACCTGCAAAGCTGCCCTGTGGGTTCCCCCCTCTGCCTGTCACATCCAATCCAATCCCATTGGCCCACTTAGCCTCTAGTCCACTTGGGCCCCAAAGGAGCCTGTTCACTGGTCTCCCTGCCCTCTTGTCTGACTCCATCCTTCACAGCCAGAATGAAGTCCTTCCCTGCTCACAGGCCCCCAATTTTCTCAGAGGGCCCCCAGGCTATGACCCTCCTGAAAGGTTAATCAGGGCCTCAACCTCCCTGGAATTCCCGGTGGCAGAGCCCGCTGCCTAGCTGGCTCATCCCTCTCAGCCCTCTGTGTGTCTAATCCTGTCCTCTGCAAGTCTGAGTCCCTTGGCACTGTGTGCCACCTGCAGAGGAGAGCTGCTAGTGGCCTGGGTGGTTTCTTGCGCCTCTCTGAGAGGCACCCAGAGCCTGCCAGCATGACACGAGTTAATTCTTCTGGCCGTTCTTGTGTCGCCCAGGGCAGTTGTTCCCTGAGCGGTTGACTCCCTACAGGGCTTCTCAACTAACGCGAACTGAGCTGGCGGAAGGGACCTCGGGCCCAGAGGATGAAGGCCGGTTTCAGAATCCCAGGAAGCACTGTCCTGCACCCGAAGCTCCTCCGCCTGCACGAGTTGGGGAAGCCACAGGAGCCCTGCCCTCATGGTTGGCCTCTGCAACCTGCAAAGTCTGGGCAGCACCAAACTCTCCAGCTGCCCGGTCACCCTGCTCAGCCCTTCCTGGCTGGGGTGAGTGCTAGGCTCTGCTCTGGGGTCCTCAACCCAGGGGTGCTCGTTTGAGCGGATTGCGACATGTGATATGCTGCCTGGGCAGCTCTTAGCAGCATGACCTTCACCCGAGCCTGTCAAGCCTCGCATTCGTGGAAGAGTGCCAGATGCCACACACCTCCAAGTGCCACATCAGGACTTCCTCCAGGGTGGTGTGGGCTCCACTGGCCTTCCCCGGCTGCCCTTACCAGGAAAGCTGCATCCCCCCCCCAGAAACTCAGGCCTGCTGCACTCCCCTTTCCCACCCCCACCCAGCGGAGTAGGGTGTCTGTGCCCCCCTGTGCACTGCAGGGAGCCAGCCAGGCTGGGAGGGTGGGATCCCTGCTCCACCTCTCAGGATTGTTGACTTGGGTCAGGTCTGAACTTCCCAAGTTTCAGTTTCCCTTCTTTCCCATGCAGCTGCCATGGGACGGTCTTTGAGGACAGACAAGTAAAGCACCAGGAGGTGCCTGCTCACAGCATGTGCTCAGTGGATTTGGTGGCCCTGGAGCCGGGCCTGGGTGTCACAGCGTCTGAGGCGTCAGGCGCAGGCTCTGCCAATGAGCTGCGACCCCTCCGGTCTGCCACCTGAACCTGCCCGGGGAAAGCTCTGTATCCAATCTCACAATCTCTTCTGCTTGACCCAGCTGCTGCTGTGGCACTGTGGGTTCTTTGGATGGCACACACACACACACACACACACACACACACACACACACAATGTATATATATTTGTGTTAAACACACACACACACACTTCAGATTCCACCCTCCAGGGCCCAAAGAAGCGGCTCTGGAGAGGAAGAGCTGCGCTCAGGGGTGAACCGCTGAGACCTTCCCAGCCTCGGTGCCCCATGGGCTCCACCCGCCCCCTGGCCACGGATCACGGATCGGGAGACAGAGACAGGCGGGAAGTCCCACCGGGCCTGGCTCTGGCTGAGATGTCCGGGTCACTTTCTGCCAGTTCCCCGGAGCTCAGTAAGCTGGAGAGAGCGGGTGGTGCCGGGTAGACCGCTGCGCAGGAGGCGCCTAGGTCCTGGCGTCCCTACTCCCAGCCAGGAATGGACTGCTGGGCTCAGGGTCGCCTCCACCCAGGTAACCCGCGGCCTTTGGCTGCCTTAGAGACGTCTGGGGTTAGAAATGGTTGTTTCACCTCTCGCTAGGCTCCAGGGACAGCAGAGGCCGCCCTGCCCCACCGCTGTGCCTGTGCGCTCAGCGCCCTCGGTGGCAGGTCCTCACCCGTCCACGCCTGGGCGCTACAGGAAGTTCAGATGCAAACCACCCAGAACTGAGGAGTCCTCACATTTGGAAATTCCTGGGGTGAGAGAGGGAATCTGGCTCACACGGTGATCGCGGGGGGT